TGAGTTGCCAAAAGTTGGCCACTTGCCTAATCTTAATTCAGAGAATTGAATTATTATTCCGTGAGCAGTCTGAAACTTTTGTGAACTGCTATTTTTTCTGCTTCTTTTAATATCGTTTGTCACAGTGCATAAAGTTTTCCTTCCTAAACTGAAGTCAGGGGCCACCAAAAGAATGAAGAAGTTCTCAGATGCTTTCGATTTTTTACCAAGCTACCAGTATTTTAAGACGGCTACGCGAGGAAAAAAACCGGACAACTCACATATCTAATATTAAATACCTAATGTCATTCTAAAATCTGTGTTTTATGCACAACTAGATGATGAAAAATTGGTTTTCTATTAGCTCTATGTCTTTCATGAAGTAAGATAAATAATAAAAGGAAATTTTGAACGTCGGGCTTGAAAAGTCACTAAATTTTTGATGAAGAGGATATTTATGAAAGGATATGAAACAAATCAAGGAAAATCTTGAGATAACATTGGTTCTATACAAAAACAGTACAGCAGAGCAAAACCATTTGTCATCTTCTTCAGTTTCATGATAACTGAGAATGGCACGTAAGGCTGTGAATCGTTGCAATCAAATACAAAATGGATGTGAGAAACTTAAAAATTATATGACTGTTAACCGGGAGCAAAATTGGAACAATAAACAACGAAAAACACCGGGAAAGTATAAATTTATAGTTTTATTCACTTTACTGCTAATATGTTCTAAGCAAACATCACATCAGCTTTCTCCTATATATTTCGTAAACCATACGTTGTCTATAATACGGTATATCTTCCTGAGTGAAAATTATTTCTGCTCGCCGTGCTGCAAATTCAGCAAATTTGCAGGCAAACATTCCACAATCCCCTCCAACTGTTTGCAGTGGCAAATTCTAAAATAAAAATTCTGTTTACGATGAGTTGAACTTGTAAATATAATAGGGAGTTTGGAAGAACTTTTGAATATCAAACATAAGCTGTTCTGGCCTATTCTGAAGAGACTAAGAAGTAACTTCTGTTGTTCATGGATCTGTACTTATCCTCCACTAATTTTTTGTTTTTTAGATGTACACTGTTGTTTATATTTTACTAACCGTTCCAATTCCGCTCAATAATTCAGGATCCTTTTGAAAAATGGAAAATAAGGGTGCTTAGTCATTAGACTGTGGAAACCAAAACTAGCGCTTGGAAGACTAATTTTCCAAAAACCAGCCTGAAAGCTGAAATTTTCTAGGGCGTACTGAAATCATCCTCTTCAGCTCAGTAAACTGAGTGTGACTCTAAAATCTACGAATACCCTACCCCGGCTTTTTTTTCTGAAGAAAAGCAGAATTTTTCACAGTTTCCTTGAAAAAATCAGTATCGCTTCAACTGCAATTCTTCTCAAAATCAACTTTTTTGCTGTTCCAAATTTTTTGCGAGACAATTGATATAAAAAGCATATTAAATGAAGCCTATAAGAAAGAAGCATTTGTAAGCATCCTACAACGAGCAAACTGCGCTTAAAAGTCGTAAAGAAACTTGAGGAATCACTCAGAATCCCTACTCCAGTTCTTGAGTTAACTGTCTTCAGTCAAATTACTTTCACCTTCGCCAATTAAAGAACAATTGAAAACAATTCAAATTAAAAATGTTTCTGAACACTACTTTATGAATGTTTGAATGTATTTCAGATAAGGCTACTATCTTCTTTAGTGGCGCTGAGAGTTCTAAACAGGCGTAGCAATTTTTTCGTTGTGACTAAGTTCAAGGGGACAAAGATCACCTGCAGCTTGCACGACTCCAAGTCTATTCGCAGTTGTAACTGACACTGGATGACAACTGTCACCTGAACCACAGTAAATTTCCACGACTTTGCTTTACCCCACATCATCTATCCG